AATCTGCCTCACAGTATTGCCACCATGTGGATAAAATGAGGAGAGACCCCCTATTTATGCCTCTTTGAGCATTCAGAGAAAGGCTCTGTGTGTGTGTATGAGAGAGAGAGAGACGGAGAGAGAGACAGAGAGAGAGACAGAGAGAAAGACAGAAAGAGAGAGAGAGAGTTAAGGAGCAGCATATCCATCTGGAGCTCTTCAAATGAGATAGATTACAATCCCTATGTCTCTCCAGCCAGCATTAATCATTGGACAAGCTGACTGATGGAGTTTGGGATTTGTAGTTCAACACATCTGAATAGTACCAGATTCAGGACAATTATTATAAACATTAGCAGCTAAAGCAGCTGAAACTTTACCAACATTTTCCTTTCCTTTCCTTTCCTTTCCTTTCCTTTCCTTTCCTTTCCTTTCCTTTCCTTTCCTTTCCTTTCCTTTCCTTTCCTTTCCTTTCTCTCCCTAGGAACCAGAATGGTACTCTATTATTTCCTTTGTCTGTGGGAGGTAAATATAAATGAACAGGACAGTTACCTGGCAGAGATGATTTAACCTACATTTCTGCATTGAGCAGATGGTTGGACTCAGCAGCCTAGTGGCCCATTCCAGCTCTGACTCCATGAAATAAAGTTCTACATATTCCTAAATTATATAATAGTGAATGCAAAGTTGTCTGGGCTCAGCAGCTCTATCTTTATTGTAAGGTTACATTAACAGAATCTTGCAAGACTGAAAGTATTTCTCCCCTTCTCCTTTTGCTCTCTGGAAAACCAGAGAAGGTCCCTTCTGAAACACTTCCCACACTCCCTCTGTGGACTGAGATATATTTTACATGATGGTTGTCCAGTCTGCAGCTCTTCCTCCTATCTCTCAAGGTCATTCCCACATACCATTATAGCAACTAAGTAGGTTTGATTAGCATTTGGATGGGAGTAGTCTAGGAAATACAAGGGCTGTACAGGTTGTAGGCTGAGGCTTATAGCTACAGTGGGAAGTCAAAAAAGTCCTAAAAGAATGCAGTGGCAATCACTTTTGTACTGTTTCAAAGGGAATGCTTGAGTCCCATATAGAGAGCAAGAGTTGAATTCCACTTGAAGGAAGCTTTAGAATATTGACCAAACTTGTGGAATGAAAGATGTCATTTTCTCTAATCATATATAATTGCTGATACCAACTTACTACTCTCAATATAACATCAAGAAGAACCATGAAGGATTGACTTCGCTTCAGAATTATATGAATATGATAGGATGCTTTTAAGTTAAGCTTTTATGATTTAATCACCCAGACTCATTATTTAACTTTACAGAAGATCCAGATAACACAGCTTTTTCCATGTTTTTTCCTTACTATTAAAAGCAATTGTTAACAGAGGAAAAGATGGAAGAGTTTTCAGTCAGCAGCCCTAGGAACTTTCCATCGGGAAAAATGCAGGTTTCTAGTTTTATCACAGAGCCTCAGTATCATTTATCTGATGCTACTGACACTACTATGTTTTAAAAACAAAAGCAGAAAGAAAAAGCTATTGTGCTACAGGAGGACTGGGCAACACAACTGTATATACGTGAATTGCTTAGAAAACAACTTCAAAAATATCGTGAGCCTAAATCAAAACTCATGACATGGCAATTTCATTGGTTCAAACCAATTATCTCTTTCCCAGCAGGAAGAAAGTTGTTGAAATTCTGTGCAACCTCCAAAGATGATATTTTACTCACAAAACCAAAGGAGAGCACATTTTCAGGCAGTTAGCAATCTCCCTGGAGACCAATTGTTGGTTTTTAAGGACTCAGCATTTTGTGGCTCTTATTGACCATTATGCTTAAAGGTGGGTTTTGTTTGTTTGTCTGACATATTACTCTCAACAATTCAATTCACTTGTCCACAAGAGATGCTCTGCATAAAAGTCTTCTTTCACTGATATAAAGTGCTGACTCTGTGATTTCCAACTGCATAAAAAGATATTAGACATAGCATGTCAAACAAGTGTTTACAAGAACCACTGAGAATAGGACATAAGGCCACTTTTTAAATCAGCCTGCTCAATAAATGCACACATGCTACTAGTATACACAAAAACTCATTTTGTTCATGGTGGAGGTGAAAAGGGAGAAATTTGTAAAATGTATGGGATCAACCATACATCCTGCATGTCCTGGTGCAAAGAGAACCACTAACTGTTGAGGACATCAACACATAATGCCAGCTTCAACCCAGCCCCAGCTGACTGCAAATAGAACCTCTGCCTGTTTTTGTTGCTTGACTAAAAGAGTTTCAGCTTCTGCCATTGCAAGCCAAGCACTCAGTCTGTGGCAAATCATTCTGCAGTGGAGGGGCTGCCCTGTTGCTATTGGCCACCTGAGACTATGGTACACATGCCCCCTCCAGGTCCCTGACCACAACTTTTCAGAGCTGTCCACCTTTTGGCAGTAATAGGAGAGTTAGAGCTCTCCCGTTATGGTAAAAAGCCATCTCTTCTACTTCTGTTGCCAACCCACAAGTAGCAGAAGCAAAGAGAGGAAGGCAAGCTTTTCATGCCGTTTTGCCCCACTTTTCTTCCCACAGGGAAAGGGAAGTAGAGTGGATGCAGCTCTTTGCATTATTTTAGCATAAAGCCAGACAATTAATGTGCAATGAATTCTAACTGAATGGAGAATTTGGGTGACATAAATCAATCCATATATTACTGTTCCACTTTAGTTTTCCATCCTCCTTTTGGAAGATCTGCCAATTCAGAATAGTAGCTAACATGTTGGACTAGGACTGGGGAAGTCCAGATAGTCATACAAAAAGATGTGACACTGCATAACAAATTTTTCACTGGTCGTGACAAGACCAGGTTCCATGGGGCCATTCTCATACCAGCTTTATTATTTATTGGCGATGGGACATTGCTGTTTGGGCTTCTCCAACACCATTTTGCCTCAAGGGTACATTGAGTGCTACCAGTTGCAGGCTCCATCCTTCACCTCTATTACCACAGGTCTCAAACGGCAGTTGACTCTTTGTTACATGGAAATGTCATTCTTCCATAAGATGGCTAAATCCATGTCAAAAATTTAAAAATGCCCCATCTACAGGTTGGTGGGGCATAGGAGGGATGTGGGATGAACCAGGAGAAAGCTCTGAAAATGTGCCTACAAATCCTTCCCAACCAATAGGTTGTTTTTCCCTTTTTTTTATTACAGGGAATATTGATTTTGATGTAGGTATAGTGATCTTCAGAAGGTCCATATTCCTGTGACAATTTATCTCTTGGCTCTCTCGTCAGAGGGACGTAGCAGGGATGTGGGTGATGCAGGAGGAAGAGAGCTCTGTTCTTAAGGGTGCGAACCATCTTTTGCTCCACCCCACAACCTCCCACCTCCCACCAGCCTGTCAGCTGGGATGGTTCTCGTGACAGGGGAATAGCAGCCTCCCCAAAAGACTCGGGTTTAATTCAGCAACAAGAGAGGTTACTAAGCCCTCTGTCTCAGGCACACGCCCACAGACCCCATGTAATGGAAAGCAGTCGACTGTCTTTGCTATTGGCAGCTGACACAGAGAGGGCGGGAAAAGGAAGCCAGGGCATCAACCAATCGCTGCACCGAAGCTCTCCCACGTTGAGTCTGTAGGGACAGCAGCGATCACCATCCTTAATTGTACGTTTAGCTGTGGCCGCTGTGCAGTTTAGGTTGACGTGCATCCTGCCAGCTCAGCTATGGCAGGGCAGAACAGTAATGGGACTGGGCGAAAGGGCCTCAGTGTCCTCATTCGACCAGGGAGCTTTGAGCCAGCCGGTCTCTCTCAGCCCCTTTTTCCGCGTAGGACTGTTGTTGAGGGGATTCAATTAGAGAAAAGAGCCTCCTTGAGCTCTCCGAGAAGGACAGAATAGAAACGCAATGCAGAAATTAAAGCCCCTTTTCCATGCTCAGTCTTCCCTCCTTCCGGGCTGCGAGGAGAAGACTCCTTCTGCCTCTTTCGCTGCCTCTCCCACTCGGAAAGGGCCAACCAGTGAAAGCCGCGACACTTTGTCCTAAGAAGAGGCAACGTGGAAAAGCGGCAGCGCTTGCCTGTCTCTCTCCTCCCAGCTGGCGCTAAAACCAGCCCGCCGAGCACGGAGCAGCGGCGGCTTCTTTTCCTGCCGCCCTTCACTTTAGCAGCCTTCGCTGCAGCTGAACCGGACCCTCCTGCCCCTTTCCAGAGCAAGGCAGTGCTCCGGCTGCCCAGAATCGCATTTCCCGCTCCCGACCTCCCTTAGCGGCCTCTGGGAGGTAGCAAAGGAGAAGGCGGCGCAGCTTCAGGAAGAGGGAGGCGGGGAGGGAGGAAGAGGCGGGGGGCCCCCCCCCCTTCTCCACCCTGGTCGCCCTGGCGGGTCTGCTCGTTCCCGCGTATCATGGGGGAGGGGG